ATTGACATAAAAGTGAGCGTTCATTGATACAGTTTTACACGACAGTAGTGAGCCTACAAATATGTGATTCCGTGATGTGGAGAATATGCAAAATATGGAAGAGTTTCTTCCGTTGACCATTGTTCATGCTCGTTTAGAAACCACACCCATCGCATAGAGGTTTGGTCATCTGAGAGCTATTATGGTCCGTAATGAAAGGTTAGAGTGAGACAACCAAGTATCAAACCGTTTCCGGAGAATAAGAAGTTGTTTATATAGTCGTGGGCAGGAGGTAAATAATAAAGAAAGGGTCAGCCTAGGTCGAATAACATCATGTTGGGTCTGAAGTCTCGAACTAGACTGGCTGTCAACAACACTCGCAACAGAGTATAATAGAGACAGGTCAGCCATCGCCATACTGTCACGAATGCCAGTGGGTTACAGAAAAGATGTGCATTTTAAGGAAGCCAGATCACATTTTTAATCGTCAAATTGGCGATGAGGTAAACATATATTTTCCAATTTATGACAGTATCAGAAGCCACTTATTGTGAATTAAAATAACTTCGTCGTTTCCGGTTGGAGGTGCTCATGAGACCCAGGCAAGGTTAAATTCATTGTCATCATATCTTTAAGGATAAATGATGTTTCATTCTTGAGGAGGCTGAGTCAAGCCGGCCTGGAGCAGCAGTCCATCAAATTTCGAAAAAATGTTATTGTAATATTCACACAATTTCGTTTAAGGTGATGAAGGACTGGTAAAAGAAGAATTTTCCCACAATCATATGAGCTGAGCTGACTCTTTTATTTTGGGTGATAGGGCAAATGTGAATTTTCGGGGAAGGCCAGGCCTTTTTGCCATATCATATTCTTTTTTGGTGGAATTGTCGAAGAAGCAAACGTATATTTGCTATAGCAATCGACTACTATACTTTATTTTCCGCATTCAGTATTGTTTTTGTGACTACCAGTAAATCAGTAGTATGAGATGTATTCACCCAATTTCGGAAAGCTCGACTCATATCATTGTAAAAAAAATTTTCTACTAGCAGTCCTTCATCACCTTAAACGAGATTGGTTGAATGCATATCATACTACTGATTTTTTGGTAGTCACGAAAACAATACTTAATTAGAAAAATAAAGTATAGCAGTCGATTGTTATAGCAAATATACGTTTGCTTCATCGACAATTCCACCAAAAGAGTATGATATGACAAAAAGGCCTGGCCTTCCTTGATAATTCACATTTGCCCTGTCACCCAAAAGGGAAGCGTCAGCTCAACTTCATATCATTGTGGGAAAATTCTTCTTCTACCAGTCCTTCATCAGCTTAAACGAAATTGGGTAAATACATATCATACTACCGATTTACTGGTAGACACGAAAAACAATACTTAATTCTAAAAATATTATTGTTGTAAGTTGTTTCGAGGAATTTAATAGTCCACCCGAGGCTGCTGTTGAAAGTACAGTTAACGCTCCACTAATCGAGTCTCCCATCCATTCTTCAGTCTGTTCACGGCATTCAGCATATTCCTTTGGAGGGCATTTTCGAAATAGGCGTTAAATATCAAAACTAGAGAAATTATGCTAAACATCTTCATAACTTTCAACAGTAGCATCCAGAAGAATACACTCACCTGAGTGACGAAATAACACTCTCTATGCTGTACAATTCATCTGAACAGTAAACTCACAAAAGAAAAAATTAATCTGTCACGTGATAGACGCTTCAAGAGCAAATAATCATCAAAATTAAAGGTTTCTTCTGTGGCGGTAGATGTTGGCCAGAGGCATTCAACCTGCCTCTCCTCTCCATCAAAATCTTGCGACTGAGTAGAATTTGCATCGAAAAATGGTTGCCCATCCTTCTGTATTCAACGTCTCATGCATTAGTCCAGGTACTAGTATCCGAGTGAAATAGCCTAATTCATATTAGTCGATTTATTCCAATTATTATAAAGTAATATGTGATGAATTCACCCAATTTCGTTTAAGGTAATGAAAGACTGATCGAAGAAGAATTTTCCCACAATAATATGCGTTGAGCTGACGTTTCCATTCAGCTCATCTCATATCAGTGTGGGAAAATTCTTCTTCTATTAGTCCTACATCACTTAAAAGGAAATTAGGTAAATTCATCACATATTACTGATTTACTGGTAGACACGAAAAACAATACTCAATTGGAAAAAAAATATTAATAACTATTACTCAACTTATTTGCATCCTT